AATTACATTATTTTTGATGGCTTCTTTTTTTTAGTTTTTCCATATTTAGTTTTATATTTTTATTTATTTGTTTTTAACCTTTTGCCAGAAAAGACTGAAAATTGGAATTGATTTTCATTTTTTCATACATAAAGAAATAAGTGTATTTCTTTGTATTGCATTTCTAAATTCAATAATAAATGCTGCATTCAACTTAATTTATATCGGCTTATGGAAAATATTTTGAATCTGAAAGTAGCGAAGTATGTCAATTCAACATGATTTGATGGAGAAGCTCTTTGAAGGTGATGAAGGTTGTAGCACTAATGTCAACTTTTCGGGTTTGGCTGTTGAAAAAAACAGGGAGAAGGTAATGAATAAAAATGTAGTCTAACTAGCGTTTCCGTGTTTATTGGGTCATAATTAAAATCTAGATGGAAGATTAATTCCATTTAGCGTTGTACCGTAAACTGCATGTCGCGTCGCGTGAGTTAAACAAAAATGCAACAGCGTCTCCTGTTGCCCACACAATAATTAACTATATAGAAGGAGTGGGATAAATAATTGGCGGACACGTTTTTAATTAAGAACAGCACAGCTTCGTGGTACTATCCGTGATTTAGTGGATATGTTGAGCTCTAGAGCCACGTTAAGTGAGAAGGTACAAATATTTATTTATACATTTCGCAGGTGAGGATTTAGTGTAGCTTTACTTTATCTACAGCAACTCTCCGGTACTTTTTAACACGCTTTTATAAGCTTAGCCTGTATGTATGTCTGTAACGGAATCTTTGAGCATAATTTTCACCAATTTCCAGAAGTTTGATTAATTGGAAACTTCGCACAGGATTGAGAAATTCTTTTATAGATTCTCTGTCGGGGAGTAAGAGAGATAGAGCTAGCGTGCGATCTGCATGCGTGCAGTTTCGGACTTACTCTTTGTAGGTTTGGACACTTGGCACAACACAACGGAGGCAGATACTTTTTCAAGGTAGTGCATTCTCACCTTGTTCATTGCGAATATTGCCATTAATCCTTGAGTTGGGCTTCAACCGTCTACAGAATGCAATGTTGTACAGTCGATCATGCAGTCATTTATCTAGGCTCGCGACTGTTTGCTGCTGGACAAGCTTATGTAGCACTTAGTTGTGTAAGGTCTTTAGACGGTATTCGGATTGAAGGACTTGATTGCTCTAAGTTAAGAGGCAAAACCCCATGCTACAGTGAAGCTTTAAATGAAAAGATTATATTATGGAATGATTCGTAGGATATTTCAATACACGTTCACAAAAAACTAATTGATAAATCGAACTAAAAAATGAAAAACAAACAATAGTTCAGAAAAACTAAAAAAAAAAAAACGCTATTAGAGCTAACCTAACTAAAAAGTAGAAAATAAATCTTAATTACAAATAGATCGCCGAACAATCAATCAATTAATGACCTCAAAATAAAATTATAGTAAAATGTAAATTATTAACAGAATAATTCAATTCAGAGTAAAAAGCGTGAGGTGCATCTTACTACATTTTCATAACTCTCTTCTGATAGATAACTGCTAATATAATGATTGTAAACATTCAATATAATAACCACCCCAAACTTTTATTAAATTAAAAATTAAATTTTATTATAATTTTATTTTGAGGCCATCAATTGATTGTTCGACCATCTACTACTGTAATATAAAATCTTTGTAATTGAAAATTTTGTTCTACTTTTCAGTTCGGTTAGCTATAAAAGCGTGTTGTTCTTAGTTTTTTTGAACTATTATTTATTTGATTATGCAGTGGGTCAAAAAAGTATTGACACACCCTGCTGTTTTCTTGAATTTCAATAACGAAAAGATGATTTTTTATATGCAAATAGTCATATTTGATGGCAATTGGTTAAACAAATTAAAAATAATATAAGAATAATAATAGGAATTATGAAATTCAAGGGCACACTAAAAAACACACCAGTAAATAAGTGTTGACAAAACTAAGTACAGTTAGTACTTTGTTAACATATCATCTGCATCAATTACGACCTGCAGCCTTCATGGTATGGAAATTCTGAGCTATTTTTGGTCCAATTGACCACATTCCTACTTAAGACCATGCTGTAACTGCCATTTGGCAGAAATTTTACTTTTTCGGACCTGTAGGTCCAGCAAGTATCGCAATTGTTTAATCGGGTTGGTAACATTGTAAAGTAACCATTCCTTTGTTTTAGCGGCGGTGTCCTTAGGATCGTTATTCTCCTTAAAGATAAATGTATCCCTGATCCCCATTTTTTTTCAGTCAACATATTTCTATTTATAATGCCTTTGAAAGGGTTAACTTTCGAACGCCATTCCACGATGTACAGCCCCAGACTAAAACGCTCCAGCCGCCATGTTTCACTGCGACCATCAGGGTCGAAATCTTGAAGGTTAAAGTAAGGTCAAGATTCCGGATCTGACGGTCGCAAATATGTATGGAGAGAACCTAACACTTAATTTGAAAATGAGGCATGTCAGCCCAACATTAAAATATGGTGACTGAACCGTTTTAGTTTTTGGCTGCATATCTTGGAGTGTTCTAAAGCTAAGCTTCATCGAAGGCATCAGGAATGCAGACATGTTGAGATCTCGCGCAATAACTTGAACAGTAGTGCGGAAAAAATGGGGATCAGGGAAGCAAAGCAAAGGAATGGTTACTTTACATAATCTACGAATCCCTGAATCTCATTCCCATTAAGCATTTACCGTACTTGCTGGACCTGAAGGAAAACTAATCCAATGAATGTAGTAACAAAAAAAAATCATCTTTTCGTTACACGTGCTTTTCTGTATTTCAGATTGTTGAATATTTTTCGTACTTCATGAGGCTAACGATAAGAATTATTGATTGTTTTGCAAAAATGATCGTTCCAAGGTACGAGCGAAAAAGTATTTCCACACGGCCGGTAAGTAGCGTGTAGACATCTTGCAAGTACAATGCAAAGGAAATACTCAGAAAAGTCCATGACGATATCGAAAAAAAGTGTCACTTTAACAGTGTTCATCTTTTTTGTCGATAATGATAATGTAAGAAATGCTCTCTCTGAAACTTTGTTCAGTTCGAGAATTGCAAAACGTGTTGGACTAACGAAGGAAAATCGACTAAGTTATTTAAACTAGGCAGCAACAGATGCAAATGAAGTTTGCTGGAGAAGGATGTACATGTAGATTTTTTCAGTTAGGTTTACCATAAAGTAAAAAAGTATTGTCAAAAAAACGTTATCGCTTATATGTTTTCAAGTGCCACGAACCGCACAGGTAAGAGGTAGCCAAGCGAACATAATATCTATACACCATGTCGAACTCTATAAAAACCACTCACGTAATTTTTGCCAGATGTCGACTTAGATCGTCTATAAGAAAAATTCAGAATGACGTTTTCTATTCATACGTATTCGTTGGACCATGACAGCCAAAAGTAAAGATAAACAAATTAGAAATTCTTATCTGTCCTGTCTATTCATCGCTAAATTCCTAGGAGTAGCCAATATTATCTGCATAATTGACATTTTGGCAACTTTCGGTCCGCCAAAAACACAAATTTGGCATCGGCATGTAATACGGGGGCACCTTTTCGAGGATCATTTTTCACGCGAATCCATTAGAATGTCTGAAAATGATATTTCAAGAACAGTCGCTGACTCAACGGTGCAACTTACGGATATTTTAAGAAATCAACTTGTCATGCAAGTAGATTGTACGATATTTTGTGTTTTTCACATGTTTTCACAGTTAGAACACCATACGTCAGCCCTTCTTATAAAGAAATTAACTACGAATATGTATAACAAAGGAATTGAATGGATCAAGTCCCCAGTTATTGGTCTCCCTCAAGGATCTGGTTGCCTCCTAAAATTTGAAAATTTAGCATATTTAAGATCTGACTGATACAAGGTCAATACCATGCTTTTAAGGGGTGATAGTACACACATTGAGCCACATAAACCTCAGTATAAAGTCGAACCATTTTTGAGTTAAGCACAATTTTGTAAAATCCTTGAAAAACTCTAAACTCTTGCGATAAATCGTCGCTTGTTCAACAACGAAGAGCAACTTCTTTGTTTTCTTAATTTTTATCATTTATTTCAATGTATATTCACCCTACGCAAACAGTTCTCCTTATACAAATAGCTTCCAAACTATCGGACTATCTCGTACACGTTATGAAAATATTGATATTGATATTGAATATTAATTATTGAATGGTTCGATTTTCCAGTGCTTCCTGTCTTTTTGAATGAACTTATGGGAAAATTTGTCAATAGGCTAATTTAGAATCATCGTTAAAACCTCCTCCACTTTTGCTCTTTCTTGTGGTATGTCATGCAAAGCGATACAGCCATTATTCTTTCCTCAATAACCAAAAATATTGGATCAAGCAGAATTTCATCAGCATTACAACAACAAAAAAATCCGCTTTTCCTGAAACAAAGCTCTTGACAGTGACAACATTATTTATTGATTCGATAACAAGTTGCTTGCTCCTTCTACCTAGTCTGAATTCGTTGTTCCCATCCGTGTTGTAAGTTAGTTGGTTCAAATCGGAATAGATTCCTAAATAAAGATGTCAACATAATTTTGCACGGGACATCAAGCGCAAAATAATGACAGTAATGAATGCCCGCGAACGTCCCATTACACCTTTTTCCTTTTCGATGATGATTATGTACTTTCTATACAGATAGTATTATGCAGTCGTCGTTCAGGGTTAAGAGCTCTATTAGAAGACTACTTTCCATATTTTAAAGATCGCCTTCATTACCGCGTATAATGCTCGCTAGTCGCGCATAATGTTGACGATTACCGGTCGTGATATGCAGATAAACGCGCGACGGTGCTGCTGAAGAACGACCTTGGTCTCGGATCTCGCTCGAAAATGTGATTGGAGAAAGTGAAAACTATTACCGAAGACATAAAACATAAATAGCTATTGTTTGTTGTAAGATAATGAATGTTTTTTCTGTGTTGGGTCGAAATGAATGTTAACCTACATTACCGTAAGAGATTTGTCAGTAGGTTTAACATCCATACATTCTATTTCACGCCTTAACCTAAAAAGAAGATATACTCTAGATGTCCAACATTAATATTTAATCTGATTTTGAAGAGGATTAGGCAAAAGGATTTGGCTGCTAAGCCACTCCACGTGAAAAATAGAAAGGTTACCAGCAAGGATTGAACTTTTTCTGTTTCTCTTTAAATCAGTACTGTGTATCTGACTGTAGTGAATAACAGCGAGCAAAGTTTGCATGAACTCAGCTGGTGGCGTCAAATTAGTATTTTTTCATCTGGAATATAAAACAATTCAAATGATTGAAAGCATAGTTGAATCAACTCTTCATCATAAAATAAATGTAAAGATCAAACCATTCATCCTTCATTTTTAAAAAGAACTTTGATATATGTATATGCGGAACCACAATATAGGGAATATGCCTGATTTTTTTTTTGCTTGTACTGTCTGTTGATTCATGTTAATATAATATCGTAGACACATATTCATGGAAGTCTCTATATTTGTTTTTAATTAGATAATTAAAAGTGCAGTGTCAATGACGTTGACTCAAACGCCGATTTTTTGACCATCTATTTGTATTTGTTATTTAAGTTACAATAAATATTTTTTGCGAGTTCACGATGTATCACAGTGCAGTATCCGGAAGTGATTCTCAAATTTTCGCGAAGAACGAGAATAGAGGAAGACGGATTTGACGTCATCCAAGTGTCTAAAGATCACGTGGTTTGGTTAACCGTAGGTGGGATACTAGCGGGTAGCAGGTTTTATGTCAATGTCATTTAAAGAAACAATTCAAAACTTGTCTTCGCAATGCCGAAAATTGTGTTATATTATTAAAGCATGAATCAAAAAATGGAGGAACAGGTCCACGAGATTTTAAATAACGAGAGAGACTATGAAGTTATCGTTGATATAGAAACTGCACTTGTTATATCAAACGGTTGATTTCATTGATATATACATTGCACAAAAGACGATTGGTCTTTTTATTTCAGATTCAAAGGAGGCAGCTAAGGTTAGCAAGGTCAAAGTTTGTCAAGCTTGAAGCCAAAATTACCCTAGAATCAGAAAATTGGGTTCATGCTCTGCAGAAAAATTGTATAACAACAATCTTGTCTGAAAGATCACGAAAGGCACCATTTTGATTGATTGACGCGCTCTTTATGAGTAAGAACTGGTTTCCAAACATTTTGCTCAGACATTTTATTATTGCATATCCTAGACAATGACCCACTTCCCTATGTAAATCTTTCTAGGAATACACTGAAGTGTTAATTACAAAATCAGTTTTTTTGCTTACCCACACGACGTTTTAATGCAAGCAAAAATATTCGCAAAATTAATTATTGCGATGCAGGATAGAATTGCCTTCGTTAATCTAACACGTCATCTGTCAGGAAGTATGATATTTAATTAAGGACAGCGAAATAATTAGTTATTTATAGCGGCGTGACTGTGCGATTTATTTGAAAATAGTAGCGGTAATTTTATAAAAAAAAGTCAAAATTAATTATTGGGTTCTTATTTTTTCGGAAATCAAGAATTCTCCCTATAAAATTCGATAGGATCAGATAGAAATAAAAAAAACATGTTTCTGCTTTTGTCCATACAACCACCTTTGACGCTGTGTCATCCTCATTAGGTATGCTTAGTATGTTATAGAAGCTTGTGTTTTGATACTGTATTTTATGGTAACTCAAAGAAAATACCCTTAACCTGTGTAGCGTCGCAGAAAACAGATATACCTCAACATTTAACCCATCTGACATCTGGCAACGCTGCAAGCATCTACGTCTTAACGGTCCATGAAAGACTACACTTTTTGGTGTTGCGAATTAATTTGGCGGATGCGAATCTGAAAAATGAGATAAAAACGAACGGTTATTCCAGAAGTTGATACCCGTTAGGAGATACCGACAAGCTGTCAGCAAAAGTGACACGATGCAGGCTCCGAAGCAACAGCGTTGGGTTTCATCGAAATTCGGGTGAAAAAATCCGTTAATGAATGGTATGACTGCGCGGCTTAATTATTTGGACATACAAGATGCAGGTACTCTTAATTACTTATACGTATATGTCATTTTTTGATCCATTGGTATATTTCGAAAACAATCAGACTACTCAGTGATATAATTCACCCATTTTTTCATGAACTGAACAAGAAAAGTAACCGTCTCGAACGAATCGCGTCACCCGATAGAAGTTGTGTAGTTGTTAGAATGTGAATATTAAAAAAGTTAATAATTATTTGCATATAAAGAGCGCAAAATGCGTCTTTGCGAGTCACTAAATACTTTCTAGAACAAGGCAAGCTACATTTTAACCATATCATAGTTACATGGATCATTCTGATAACGTAGTAGCATTCAATTGTCGGTCCGATTGCAACCACTTTTTGCTACTTTGTCGCACTATAGCGGTATTTTTTTTTGGTAGGTGGTAGAAATAAATCTTTCCATTCCAATTTTTAAACAGAAAATTCCTACATTCCTACAAGTAACACCTAAACCCATGTTCCCTTATCAAACGACCCTCTTAAACTTATAAATATCTTCATTTTAGTGGCAATACCTATATAAATCAAAACCCAGCTGGCTGGAAGCCAATCACAAAAAGTTATCCGTCAAACATGTATGACTTGCCAAAAAGAGAGATATACGGATAAATCTAAGAAAAAAATCGTAATTACTCGAGGTAATATTTTTAGAGATGGAAAAATATATAGGTCAAGTACGTTCTGCAGCAGTGAACCACTTGTTGGTGATGATATCTCGAGAAGTAACATAAATAACACCTGGTGACATGAGGGATGGAATATTAGCTCAGTTTAAAGGTTTATTGACATGAGTAATTGAAGATTTGAACAAAAATAGCATTACTTAAAGGAGTAGTGCGAAAAAGACAAGTATTAGTAGGGATACATCCTTCACAATGCTCTGCTTGTAGCATAGTGGACCCTGATTCATTGTTGTTATACAAACGTATATGCATGTAACTGTTCACCTCCATATCGCAGATAAAGGGTTACTTGCGAACAACCCATTGACTAGTAACGAATGAAAAAAAAAACAGCTTATGATTAGCAAAGCATGATGGATTCCATCAGTGACCACTATACTGCCATACCTTGTTAAAAGGCAGTAATAGTAGTAGTAGTAGTAGTAGTAGTACCATTGGTCGGGTTAGTCAAGAAGAATAGTCAGTTTTTGACTTTGCCTTCCTGAGCTTAAAAGCAGTAAATCAATTTATCAAAGCAAAATAGCAGTAATCTTCAACCTATACTACTTTTCATTCTCTGTATGATCCAGGTACATACTGCATTTTACCTTTTTTATAACCTGTTATGATGTTTACTTATTCAGCTTTTTTAAGTTATAATTATATTGATCGTGAATAACTATTTATCGTTATAAATAACTATTTTTGCCCGAAAGAATAATTTTGAAAAATATTCTTCGTTTAACTTAACATATAAGAAAGCATCCTGTTTTTAGTTTACTGATATAATTATTTTTGTTGAATGTAATTAAATGCAATCACATAATTATCAAATTGAATGATTAGAAGTTAAAAAGGTGGAGTTTTGTGTTATTTATGTGAATTTCTATAGAATAAGATATATGAAAACAAAAAAGCAATACTGCGTTTTTCCATTGAAAAAAAAGGCAGTTATTTTGTTTTTGCAGGGTATGATAGCAGCAAATCACATGATACTGCTTTTTGATTTACGGACAGAATGTCATTTATTTTAGGCTTCAACAACAATTATCATCAGAAATCACATTTCTCTCTATAAGATCATGTAACTTTACAATATTAATTTAATTTTATTTAGTTCGAAAGATTTTTTACTCGAATTTTTTACATAAGTACACACACAGTTATTTTGTTTAATAAGCTATAAACCTTATTCGCAGTAGCCTACCCATTTTCGCAAACAAAGAATATATACAGCAATGTTACAAAAGTACGAGTAACAAGTTAACTTGCACATTTACAACTTCGGATACCGTTATACTAGCAGATAAACAGTTAACACAATTAAATGGCTATTAATAAAAACTCCAAAGTCATGTTCTGCATTCTCTTGAGCCGAGGATCAATTTAATAACCGAAATCAATAAAACGCAAAAAACAGACGTGAAATAGGTAATCCTCTATCGTTGGCCTTTTTCGTTACAGAGATTAGACAATGCAGTTTAATGTAACTGAAACCAGTTGTGGTTTTTCCGATTATATCAGAAAGTCTGCTAGTACAGAATCGAATTGTAATTCATATCAAATCAAAAATGTGCTTAATCATGAAGATACATCTATAACTAAAAAGAACTGCTCGGATTTAAATATAAATTTTACATCAGGTTATTACTATATCAAGGACGAAAAAGCTTTGTAGTGTTCGAAAATCTGTCCAGTGGCGGCAAAGGAAAAGGTAGACAATTTTTTTAACGTTTCAGATCACGTTTGAAAAAAATATTAGTAGTCCAACTGAAATTGTTTTTCATAAATAATCGGAAGGTGTATTCTTTTGAATAAAGTATCGAGTGTTACATATTATTGAAGAGTGTAGTTTTAATACCAATTTGAATAAGAAACCAACGGATCGCCCACCCTTTATATATGTATATATACAGGGTGCCCCATCCTTGTGTGGACGGAATATTACTCATAAACAAATACATTTTGAGAAAATCCATTTATGGCTTGTTATACATGACAGTTGAGGGCACATTTCTAAAATATTGGCAATTATTCAGGGTGTCTCAATTTTGACCTACATATACACATACATATTTTAAATGGAATGCATCACATTTTATTGCATATTTGGATAAACCTATTCAAAAAAAGAAGATTGATATAACATACTATGGGGTTTTGGTAATTAGCTATTGAGATGTAAGGTGTTTTGTCCAGAAAAACCGTCCACTTTGGCAACCCCTCAATCCGCCATTTTGAAGTTTGGAGTGCTGAATTTTGTATCAAAAAAAACTTACACATCTCAGCTTTTATCTTATTTATTACTTGTTCGAA